CCCGAAAACCTCACAACACCATCCTCACCCAGGAGGAGGAGGAGGAGGAGGAGGAGGAGGAGGAGGAGGAGGAAGAAGAATAGAAGGAGGATCGACGACGACGATGACGACGACAAGAGGGACCATGGGCAGCATAGAGCATGAGGAAGACGACCCAACCCCCCTTTAAGAACACCCGAGAGCCTCCAACAACATCCTCAGACAGGAGGAGGACGAGGAGGAGGACGACGAGGAGGAGAACGGCGACGACGGACCCAAACCCACTCAGAATCGGACCGACCCCCACCAGGATTCGAATGGTGGATCATCCACGAAACTGGTTACTCCAGAACTGGTGTAAATGAGTACACGTCGGTCGGAAGGAGTAGGTAGAAGGAGGAGGAGGCGCAGGGGTCGGGCCGGGCCGGGCCGGGCGATGGCGCCGGGCTGCCCCAATGGCGGCGGCTGAGGCGGCTGCCCTAGCGGCTTCTGCCGCAAGAGAGGCTGTCGCAGGACGCACCCGGCCATGGCTGCCGCCTCTACTTGCACGTGGGAGGTGAGCGAGCAGGCGGCCCAGCGACCTGCTACCTGTGCGAAGTGCTGCACGCCGTTCGAGACAGGGGACCTTCGGCTTCGTCGGGCCAATACGCGTAACACTCGGCCCATTCATCCCGGGTGCTCTCACGGACTGGTCAACGACACCTCTTCTATCGTGGGGTTCGGGCAGCTGCCTCTGGCCACGAGACAGAGACTAGAGCGTTCCCTGGCGCATGCGGCGTCCGCCCACGGCCTGCCTGGAGACGTCCCTCCACCCCGCCTCGGACGGTTCCCTGACGATCCGGACCACGTCCCACCCCGTAATGAACTTCGCTATCTCCACCTGTGGGACGACGTGGCCTGGGAAAGGATTCGCATCTGCCCCAACGTCATCCGCCACGTGCCGGACCACTGGAGGAGCAGCATCGCTGAGGCTAAGCACGCGGTTGCTGCTGCCATCGACGCGGTGCGTGGTCGCGTCGATGACGAGGCGGAACGTCGGCGCGGCCAATTCTGGAAGTTGTTTCTTTGTGTCGATGCCTTGCTTTTGCATTCGGTGCCTAGGCAGCGGGGAGGCCGGCGCGGGCAGGGCAACCACACGCTGAACACGATCCTCAGCGCCCGCCTACGTGCTTTCTGGAGCGGCGCTTGGCCGCAGCTGCTGTTAGTTGGAGGGGCACCAGAGTACGGTACGAGCTTCCCGGCGCAATCCCGGTCCTCCGAGGCGGTTGCTGCACGGGACGTCGCCAACAAAGCTGTCAGCAAGGCCCTTGCGCGGGTGCACGCGCCCATGCGTTTCGCCCAAGGCGACGACGTCCCGAAGCGCCTGCAGGACATGTTTCCCAGGCCAGCTCGACCGCTGCCTCTGCAGCCCGCACATGAGGGGGTCCCGCCAGAGTTGCGGGAAGAGCTCGTAACGCATATTGCGGCGGCTGCCACGGCACTCCCGTCGATGTGCGGCGCCGGGCCCAATGGGTCTTTCTACAAGCACCTCAAGATCCACGCATTCATCCAGGGTAGCCTGCAGGTCCTGGCCGGCGTCCTCGCAGACTTGCTGACCGGCGAGGCCCCAGTCGAGGCGGTCCGTGCCTCCAGGAGCGGCCGCTGCCACTCACCTCTCAAGCCGGACTCTGACATCGACATTCGCCCATTGGTGTCCCCGTCCGGCCATTGGCGCGCCGCGCTCTGAGAGTGGGGCAACATGTTCTCCGAGGAGGTTCGTGAACCAGTGGGCGAATCTCAATACGGCGTCGCCCGGCCAGGTGGCCCCGTGACCTGCCGGCATTTTGTCAAGGCGCATTTGTTCTCTGACCCTGAGCTCGCCCTCACAGCCCTCAATATGGCGAACATGCACGGCAGCATGTGTCTGGGCAAGATCGAGTCCGAGGTCCCACACCGAGTCCCTCGCATGTGGCCGCTGGTCTCTCGCTGGCTCCGCCTCGAACGGCGCCATGTGTTCAAGGATTCAGCCGGCGCCCTCCACGAGATCATCGCCACGACTGGGGTCGACCAGGGCTGCCCGTCGGCCTCCTACTTGGCCTGCCTGGGCGTCGCCCCCGTTCACGACGCCCTGAAGGAGAATCTAGCAGTGGTGGGGCTGCAGGACGACACGCACTCGCTCACCCGCCAGGCGAACCTTCGGGACGCCCTGGAGGGAGCAGCCCCGGCGTTCCGCACCGCTGGCTGCACCCTCAAGCTCCGCAAGTGCTCCAAGTGGTCTCCGGGGGCCTGCGACGTGGGGGAGCCGGGCATCCGCCGAGTGGCGTCGCCCCCGCTGGTCCTCCAGCGGCCTCTCGAGCGCCCGGCTGTGGCCCCTTCCGGCGACCCGGCCCTGCTCCTCGCACACGGGCCTTGCGACGAGGTGATAGCAGACCGGAGGCGCACGCTCAACCGCCCCAGCGAGCTCAAGGCGGCGGGGCTGGCTACGCACCTCGCTGTGTCCCTCGCTCGGGTGGCCACCGCCGGCGACGGCGTTTACTTGCAGCAGTGTCAGCCGCTCACGGAGGCGCAGTCCAGTGCGTTGGACACGGTGGTCTTAGACGGCATCTTCGACCTCCTGGGTGTCGAGACCTCCGAGGTCACGGACCGCCCGCACCGGCAGCGGTGGATGTTGCCGTGAGGGAAGGGGTGTATGGCCTGTCGAGCGTGGCCTTGAGCTCCAAACCGAACTACCTGGCCTCCTGGCTACGCGACCTCACCGAGAGCGCAGAGACCATGGGGCTTGCCAGCGCCTCCGCCCTACTCGACAAAGCGCCCGCCCTCTGGGCTTGCCTCCACGGCGTCGTCGCCGGCATGTCGGCGCAGGGAGTGGACCTCCCAACTGGCATGGACGATGTTTTACTTTTGGGCCCGATCGGCGCCGCATCCAAATGGCGCTCCGAAGTGGTTTCTCGCATCATCTCCGATATCCGTAGCGGTGCCGCTGAGGAGTACGTCACCACGATGCTGGAGTCTGGTGGCAGCGGTGGTGGTTCTTCGATGGCAGTCCCCACGCTACCGCACCACTGTCTGACGAACCAAGAGTTTGCCACCGCCAGCCGCCTCCGGATGTATTTGGACGTCCATGTGAAGCGGCCGGGGCACGACCTCCACTGCCTCCACAAGGGCGGCCAGCGGTCCGGATACCAGGTCTGCAACCAGGTAGTCGACCTGAAGGGCCTCTATGGTCTCATGTGCAAACGAGGAGGCCTCGTGGTGGGCAGGCACGACGCTCTTCGGGATGTCCTGGCCGGCCTAATCACGGAGCACATGGGTGTTCCCGTCCATACCGAGCAGCACCCGCCCGGCGAGCTTCCTGACGAACGCCGCCCAGACATCGATTGCTACGAGAAGCGGTCGGTGCGGCAGCTCCTGGACGTCACGGTGGTCACGCCCCACGTCAGGGAACTCCCCAGAGACGCACGCCTGCACTGGGCCGGGGCGCTCATCGAGCGCGAGGAGAGCAAGAAGAGGCGCAAGTACCACATGCTCAGCCTGACGCCCGTTGTGCTCTCGCATCTCGGCCGCATGGGCGGGGGATGCCGGGGCATGGTAAGAGCCTTCGCCAGTGATCTTCCAGAGCGCGAGCGGTCGGCCGCCATCGACGGGTGCTACCAGCACCTGGCGGCGACGCTCCAGCGCGGCAACGTGGCACTCTTGGCCACGTCTGCGCCCCTCATCCTCTAGCTCCCCTCTCCTCCCCCCCTTCCCCGTCTTCGTTTTGTGTGTTCGTGAATTCTCAGCGCTCGGTCTTTGGTCTGAAGCCTCCAAAATGCGCTTCAGGAAAACTCCCCCTAAGGATCCCTACGGGGGGATTTCTGTCAGGGGTGATTTTGTGCATTGTCTGTCTCTGGAGGCTCCGGCGTTCGTCCCAGGCCTTAGATTTTGCTTCGCTGTTGTTTCGTTTCGGTCGCTCCTGCGCTTTCGCGCGTCCCGCCTTCCTCTGGTTTCGTGACAGCACGGCGTGCCGACCTGCCCTCCTGGCCTGCCGTGGTCTGCCGCGCTGGGTCCGCCGAACGACGCTGCCGCGCGTTGGTATCCCGTGCGGGTCTGCTGGGGCTTCACGGAGCCGCCTCGGAAGTCTCTTGGAGACTTCTGAGGGGGCCTCTCGGGCGCCTCTGGGAGGCTTCGTGGGGACGTCTTGGAGCCTCGTGGGGGCCGCTTGGAGGCCTCTCGGGAGCCTCATGAGGGCCTCTGGGGACCTGTTGGGGGGCTGTTGAGGGGCCTTTGGGGGGCCTTTATGTGGCCTCTTACGTTAGCCTTGGGGCTCTGAGGAGCCTCTTGGGGACATCTTGGGGCCTCGTCGGCCCCAGTGAGCGGCAAAGATACTGGGCTCTGAATGTTCTCCGTCGGCCTCCTCCCACCATTTAAGGGTCCGGACCCATCCTGGGGCCCTCGCAAGCGCGTCTTGGGGCCGTCTTGATTGCCTCGGAGGCCGTTTTTGGCGCCTCCGGGCCTTCAGAGCCCCTCGTGGGCCTCTTGGGCCCTGCTGAAAGCAAATAAGCAGATCGCGCCCCGCAGGGAGCCCCACATACCGCTCCAGAAGGGGGGGGTGCATGGGCAAGGCGCCACTGTTGGTAAGCATCCAGAGGCGATAAAACCTCCCGCAACCACCAAAAAATCGATACAGAGAAGCTGGAAAATGTGAAACTGGAAACCCCACAAAAAAGTGGAAGTGGCCAGGGCTAGAAGAACTGGTAGGGGCTGAAGCGAGCCCAAAACAATTGGGACCAAGGGAGAGCCCGAAAAGGCATGCCGTGAGATCCCGCGCCGCGCCCGGACTGGCGGCGACGAAGACGCGACGCGGACGGCGTCGGCGGCGGCGACGGCGGCGCGCGGCTCGGGGGCGGGGCTAGCGGCCGCTCGTCGTCGTCGTCGTCGTCGTCGTCGTCGTCGCCGCCCCCGTCGCCGCCCCCCCTCCTCCTCGAGCTCGTCGCCGTCGTCGTCCTCGTCGCCGTCGTCGTCGCCGTCCTCGTCGCCGCCGTCGGGCGGCCCCTCGGCGGCGCCTGGATCATGAGGTTCTGGTTCGCGAGCATGGCCGCCGCGGGGCGCGGCGGCTCTCCAGGCGCGGCCTCCTGCCGCCTCCGCTGGCGCGCCGGGGGGTCGCCGCCGCCGCCGTCGGCGTCGCCGTCCTCCCCCCTCGCCCTCCTCGCCCGCCTCGCCCTCCTCGCCCGCCTCCTCCTGCTCCTGCACCCTCCTCCTGCTCCTGGTCCCACCTCCCGCTCCTGCTCCTCCCCCATCCTCCTCCCCCCTGCCTCCTCCCTCCTCCCTGCTCCCTGCTCGCGCCTCTCACTTCCATCCTCCTCTCCCTCCTCCTCCGCCTCATCCTCCTCCTCCTTCTCCTCGTCCTCCTCTTCCTCCCTCTCTCCCTCCTCCATTATTGCCCTTGTTGTTTTGATGAAATATCGATCGTGGCTAATGTCATGTTTAGGGCGAATCGTCTTGTTATACTTAGTCATATCAAACATGATGGAACCCACGAACCCGGAAAGGGATATAGACATGTGCAGCATAGTCACGTTTTCACGATACCCCACTGGGCGACACCTCACGAAACATCCCACGAGACACCCCGCGAAACATCCCACGAGACACCTCACGAAACATCCCACGAGACACCTCACGAAACATTCCGCGAGACACCCCGTGAAACATTCCACGAGACACTCCACGAACAGGCAACCACTCAACCAGACACCCCACGAAACATTCCACGGGGGTGCGACTGGGTGTGGTCGTGCTGGGGTGTGGTCGTGCTGGGGTGTGGTCGTGCTGGGGAGTGGTCGTGCTGGGGTGTGGTCGTGCTGGGGCTGGGGTGTGGTCGTGCTGGGGCGAAACATTTCACGAGACACCTCACGAAACATTCCACGAGACAACCCGTGAAACATTCCACGAGACACCCCACGAACAGGCAACCACTCAACCAGACACCCCACGAAACATTCCACGGGGGTGCGACTGGGTGTGGTCGTGCTGGGGTGTGGTCGTGCTGGAGTATGGTCGTGTTGGGGCGGTCTGGGTGGTCGTGCGGGGTGTCGTGCTGGGGGGGTCGTGCTAGGGAGTCGTCTGGCGTGGTCGTCTGGGGCTGGTCGCTGGGCGTGTCGTGCTGGGGGTGTCGTGCTGTGGTGGCCGTGGTGAGGTCGTGACTGGGTGGTCCCTGCTGGGGTGGTCTTCTGGTGGGTCTTGCGGGGGTGGGTCCGTGCTGGGTGGTCGTCTGGGGTGTGGTCGTGCTGGTGGGTCGAACTGGATGGGTCGTCTGGGTGGGACTCTGGGTGTGTCCGTCTGGGTGTGTCTGCTGGGGTGTGACTGCTGGGTGGGTCGTTCATTTCGCTCGAGACATCCTGCCAAAATCCCAAGAGATCCTAGAAAAACAAGCGAATTAGTCGAGACATCCTCGAAATTCCTGCGCGCGAGACGCGGCACGCGCGAGACAGTCTCGGAATTCCTGCGCGCGGGGCGCTTTTCCGCGTCGCAGACGGCTCAGCGAAACCAGCGTTTCGCTCGAGATATCCTCAACATAGTCTGAAAACAAGCATTTCGCTCGAGACATCCTCAACACACGAAAGCGCCCGCACCCTGCGATTATCGATCAGGGATTAAAAAACAACGTGGCGTTTCGCTCGAGACATCCTCAAAGTTTAATCCGCCGGCGCTCTTCGACCTCGATATTCATCAAGACAAAATCCGCCGGAGCCCTTCAGTTGAGGCACCGGGGACAGGTTTACCATACTAAAAGAGAACCCTGGGCCCCCGCCCTTTCCGGGAAAATAAGGAAGAGGGTAGTCATAATAGTACCAGTAGTAGTAGTAGTTAAAAAAGTAAAAGTAGTAAAAGTAGTAGAAGTAGTAGAAGTAGTAGTAGTAGTAGTAGTAGTAGTAGTAGTAGTAGTATATTTAAGTATAGAATAGTATAGAGTTATAGTAGTAGTTAGTAGTGGTCGTGAAGTCGTAGTCGTAGTCGTCGTACCCTAGTAACATAGCAACATACAAAACACTAAAAACAAACATCGTATAACAGCAGTTAGTATCGTAAGTAAGTAGTCTTAGCCGTCGGCGTAATCGTAGTGCACTAGTAAGTAGTAATAGTAAAGTATAGTAAGCAGTAGTAGTAGTAGTATAGTAGTTGTAGTAGTAATAGTAGTAGTTATAATAGAGTAGTAAGTAGTAGAATAGTGCAGCAGAAACACAGCAGCAGCACACAGCAGCAGCACAGCAGCAGTAGTAGTAGTAGTAGCAGCAGCAGCAGCAGCAGTAGTATAGTGTAGTAGTAGTGGTAAGTAGTAGTTAGTATGGTGGGATAGTAGTAGATATAGTAGAGTAGTAGTAGTAGTAGTAGAAGTAAAGTAGTTAGTAGTAGTAGTAGTAGTAGTAGTAGTAAAAGAAATAGTAGTAGTAGTAGTAGTAGTAGTAGTTGTTGTTGTAGGAGTAGCAGTAGTAGTAGTAGTAGTAGTAGTAGTAGTAGTAGTAGTGGTAATAATTAGTAGTACTAGTAGTAGCAGTAATTGAAGTAGTAGTAGTAGTAGTAGTAGTAGTAGCTGTTGTTGTAGTTGTAGTAGTCGTCGTGGTAGTCGTCGTGGTAGTAGTCGTGGTAGTGGTCGTCGTCGTAGTAGTCGTCATTAGTCGTAGTAGTCGCGGTAGTCGTAGTAGCAGCAGAAATAATAATGTTAGTATCATATCTTCGTAGAAGTAAAACGATTTGCATTATTGACATACGTGCTGGTATGAAAATGTCTCCTGTTACTCGAGCTAATAATACTATGATCACTGTGGAAACAAGCTGGTTCACCCGACCGCGACTCATCCGCTCCGATTCACCCCGCCCCCCTTTCGATGGAATCGCGACTGAGTGAGAGAAACACCTGGTGAGCTAAGCCGGGTGAATTAAGCACCAGATGAGTTAGGCACCAGGTGAGTCAAGACCCAGGTGAGTTAAGCAACGGATGAGCCAAGGACGGATGGGTTAAACACCAATTGAAACATGATGGACCCACGAACCCGGAAAGGGATATAGACATGTGCAGCATGGTCACGTTTTCACGATACCCAACTGGGCGACACCTCACGGAACATCCCACGAGACACCCCGCGAAACATCCCACGAGACACCTCACGAAACATTCCACGAGACACCTCACGAAACATTCCACGAGACACCCCGTGAAACATTCCACGAGACACCCCACGAACAGGCAACCACTCAACCAGACACCCCACGAAACATTCCACGGGGGTGCGACTGGGTGTGGTCGTGCTGGGGTGTGGTCGTGCTGGGGTGTGGTCGTGCTGGGAAGTGGTTGTGCTGGGGTGTGGTCGTGCTGGGGGGTGGTCGTGCTGGGGGGTGGTCGTGCTGGGGGAGTGGTCGTGCTGGGGGGTGCTCGTGCTGGGGCGTGGTCGTGCTGGAGCGTGGTCGTGCTGGGGCGTGGTCGTGCTGGGGGGTGGTCGTGCTGTGGTGAGGTCGTGCTGGGGTGTGGTCGTGCTGGGGTGTCGTCTTGCTGGGGTGGGGTCGTGCTGGGGTGGGGTCGTGCTGGTGTGTGGTCGTGCTGGGGTGCGGTCGTGCTGGGGTGGGGTCGTGCTGGGGGGGTGGTCGTGCTGGGATATGGTCGTGCTGGGGTGCGGTCGTGCTGGGGTGTGGTCGTGCTAGAGTGGGTTCGTGCATTTCGCTCGAGACATCCTGCCAAAATTCAAAGAAATCCTAGAAAAACAAGCGAATTAGTCGAGACATCCTCGAAATTCCTGCGCGCAGGACGCGGCACGCGCGAGACATCCTCGGAATTCCTGCGCGCGGAGCGCTTTTCCGCGTCGCGGTCGGCTCTGCAAAACCAGCGTTTCGCTCGAGACATCCTCAACCAATTCTGAAAACAAGCGTTTCGCTCGAGACATCCCCCAATTTTGCAAAACCAGCGCTTCGCTGGAGACATCCTCGACAAATTCTGAAAAACAAGCGTTTCGCTCGAGACATCCTCAAAATTTAATCCGCCGGCGCCCTTCGACTTCGATATTCATCAAGGAAAAAATCCGCCGGCGCCCCTCAGTTGAGGCACCGGGGACAGGTTTACCACACTAAAAAAGAACCCTGGGCCCTAAGCACCAATTGAAAAAGCAGCGGATGAATTAAGCACCCGGTGAGTGAGGCACAGAGAAAGTCAAGCACTGGCACTGGGTGACGTAGGCGCTGGGCGAGGTAGGCACGGGTTGAATTAGGCAACGGTCGAGTCAGGCACCAGGTAAGTTAGGCACCGGGTGAATTAGGCATTGGGTGAGTTAGGAGCCGTGTGAGCTAGGCGCAGGGTGAATCAAGCACCAATTGAGATAAGCACGGGGTGAGTTAAGCACTGGGTGAGATAAGCACCGGGTGAGTTAGGCACCGGTGAATTAGGCATTGGGTGAGGTTGGCACTGGGTGAAAAAGGCACCCAGTGAGTTAGGCACCGGGTGAGTTAAGCACCGGGTGAGGTTGGCACTGGGTGAGTTAGGCACCTGGTGAGTTAGGCACCCGGTGAGTTAAGCACCGGGTGAGTTAAGCACCGGGTGAGGTTGGCACTGGGTGAGCTGCGCATTGGGTGAGTTAGGTACTGGGTGAGTTTGGCACTGGGTGAGTTTGGCACCAGGTGAGTTAGGCATTTTGTACCGCGTCTCCTGCCTGTGCCATTGCGGCTGTTCCTCTTCCACCGTGGGTGGGCCACCCTGTTTTTCAACATGATCCACCCACGAACCCGGAAAGGAATATAGAAATATAAGGCACGCAACGTTTCAAAGACACCTGATTGGGCGTCCGAGTCCTGACCGAACTGATCTGGATCGTAAGCTCGAGCTGCCTGAGCAGATGGTAGCTGCCCCAGAACCAATCGACAGAGGGGACATGCCAGGAGGACGCGCCGCAGAACGTCCCAAGGGACGCGCCAGGCGACGTGCCAGGGGACGTGCCATGGGCACGCACCGCGGGACGTGCCAAGGGACGCGCTACGGAACGTGCCAATGGACGTGCCGCGGGGCGTGCCAGGGGACGCGCCGCGCGACGTGCCAGGTGGACTCGCCACGAAACGCGCCAAGGAACGTGCCAAGGTGCAATGTTGAGTGTATCGAT